CACATGCATGACAGAACACTGCTCTTCTGGGTTTCGGCGCTCCCACACACGCGACAGCCAGAGGGGCTGCGCAGTCCAGGTGGGATGGTTTCGCATGACATTTCCGGCACACAGGCTGGCACACGGTGACGTAAAAGGTTAGCCATCACTGTTCTAGGGTTTGGCAAAGAGGATTTCTTTATGTAGATGCAGGACTGTTTGAGGAAAGATGCAAAAAAGTCAACAAGTGGATGCAACCACCTTATGAAAGCCCCATCCATTTCTTACATATCGCACACATAAAAAGCGGGGGGGGGGGTCTCTCACACAAGCGCAACTGCCAACCAGACGTTCTAGACCAGTATTTCTCAATTTTATCAACATTAATATGCATGGACTTCAACTCCCAGAATGCCCCAGCCAGGGTTGGAGCATTCCTCAGAACATTGCTGGCTGGGGAATTCTGGGAGTTGAAGTCCATGCATATTAACATTGAGAAAATTGAGAAAGATGTCCCTAGATATATGCAGATACACACCGTAAACATCTCAGTTGTAATGTTAAGGAGTGAATTCAAGAGACATGGTCTTTATCAATTTCTTATATTCTAAAAAATGAGAAAATGGAACAATATTTTTCATATAGTTTAGAGTTAATTCTACATTAAAGGACTGATTAAAGGAATATTGCTATTGTATGGATTTTTTTCCTCCCTTCCCTTAAATTTTACTTCATTGTAATCATTAGTCTGTGGATGTGTGTGTCATTGCACTATCCAGTTCTATTTTTATGGTAGTTGAATTTCACTGATAAAAACTCTTAAAAAAATATTAGGAAGTAGAGATGGGCTTAACAAGTCCCATCAAAACTGGAAGAAATAACTACATTTCATATTTATTTTTTTTCATATCCCTCCCATGCTCCATGATTTACCACTCCTCTTTAAACATATTGTCTGCATGTTCACCTTCATCTGTCCAGGAGAATTCATGCCACTAAATTCCACCCAGATCGACTTAAGGAGCAAAGGGGAGGAAGAATGCCAGCTTTTCACCTTCAGCCAATGCTGGGCAATGATTGCCAGCTTGCCCACTTGTCATTGCTTGGCTTAGAATTACAATTTGGCTCACCATTTAAAGCCAGTGATTTTTCCAGTGGTTTCTCAATAAGCAATTTCAAGCTACTAAGGCTGTTATTGTGAGCTGGGTCACAGCAGGATGGGGAGAGGAGAGTTATAACTAGAAAGAAGTCAACCAAATATAAACCCTCTCCTGGCGGATAGCCAATCTTGTGGCCAAAACCATTTTGGGATGGATGTATGCACAAACAAATTATTCTCCTACTGTTACTGCTGCTGCTGCTACTTGCACCCATTCTCTATATTTAGCATTTATAGGATGCATTCTTTTAACAGGCAATGGCTCTGTTAGTCCCAATCAGCCTGATCAAGGGGGCTGCTAATTGGGGATGAGAGTAGATTTGCTCCAATATACCCCAAGGGAACCAGCTTAAGGATTTGCTTATTTTCGTATTTAAGAACCACCCACCTCCCTCACTGCTAAATGTTAAAGGAGCAGGACTTAAACCAGGTGAGATGTTTCAGGATGACAGATGGACACAGGGGGAAAAAAATGTGTTAGATCCCCGGCGCTTTAATGCTCCCTGAAGTATTTGGAGCCCTGATGCCTGTGGAAGAAACTGCAGCTGTGGGAACAAAACATTGCATCAAATCCCAGCAATTCAAGACCGACAGGTGCATTTATACAAGTTGAGCTTGGTTATTATTGCTGAACTAGGTTAGGGATTTTTTTTAATCATGTAGTGTGTTGTGTGTTTGGTTAGTTACGGTTCAGCGTATTATCGGGCAGACCTCCAAAATCTTGATACTGAAATCTAGCAAAACAGACTTGCAAGTATGACTGCACTATTCTGCTGCTACAGTGTTCTGAACCAATTTGCAATTTTTGTTAAAAGTAATTTTAATTCAGGGAGGGAAGGAGGGAGGGGGAGAGAGAGAGATGCAGTGAGATTACCAAAGTCTTATTGAGACAGTTCCTGGCTGCATTCAACATGTTCAGTGAATGTATGGCTTACAGCATGGTTGCGCAACCGTTTCCCCAGCACCTGGATGAAATGACATATCTGGATCCGTTCCAGTCGGGCTTCAGGCCCAGGTATAGCACGGAAACGGCATTGGTCATGTTGGTAGATGATCTCTGGAGGGCTCGGGACAGGGGGTGTTCCTCTGTCCTGGTCCTGTTAGATCTCTCAGCGGCTTTTGATACCATTGACCATGGTATCATGCTGCACTGGTTGGAAGAGTTAGGGGTGGGAGGCACTGTGTTACGGTGGTTCTCCTCCTTTCTCTCCGACCGGTTGCAGTCTGTGTTGACAGGGGGGCAGAGGTCAACCCCGAGGCCTCTCATATGTGGGGTGCTGCAAGGGTCGGTCCTCTCGCCCCTCCTGTTCAACATTTATGTGAAGCCGCTGGGCGAGATCATCCGTGGTTTTGGGGTGAAGTACCATCAGTATGCTGATGACACCCAGCTGTACATCTCCACCCCGGACCACCCCAACAATGCCCTTGAAGTGATGTCCTGGTGCCTGGAGGCCGTGCGGATCTGGATGGGGAGGAATAGGCTCAGGCTCAACCCATCCAAGACCGAGTGGCTGTGGTTTCCAACGTCCCGATATAGTCAGTTGGTGCCATCACTGACTATTGGGGGCGAATCATTGGCCCCCACGGAGAGGGTTTGCAACTTGGGCATCCTCCTGGATTCACGGCTGTCTTTAGAAGAGCACTTGATGGCCGTGACCGGGAGGATTTTTCATCAGGTTCGCCTGATTCGCCAGTTGCGTCCCTTTCTGGATCGGGACTCCCTACGCACGGTCACTCATGCCCTCGTCACCTCCCGCCTGGACTATTGTAATGCTCTCTACATTTTTTTTTTAATTTGATTTATATGCCGCCCTTCTCCGAAGACTCAGGGCGGCTTTCAATGTGCTCAGCAATAGCCTTCATCCTTTTGTATATTTATACAAAGTCAGCTTATTGCCCCCACAAACTGGGTCCTCATTTCACCTACCTTAGAAAGGATGGAAGGCTGAGTCAACCTTGAGCCTTGGTGAGATTCGAACCCTGCAGTAATTGCAGGCAGCTGGTCTTAATAAGCTTAATAACAGGGTGCCTTAAACCCCTGTACTACCATTGCCCCTTGAGGAGCACCCGAAGACTCCAACTGGCGCAGAGTGCGGCCGCGCGGGTGGTAATGGGAGCGACATGGCGTTCCCGTGTAACACCTCTCCTGCGCGAGCTGCACTGGCTCCCGGTGGTCTTGCCACCATGGCTCATAAAGCAGCTTTGATCGCCTCTTGTCCTGCTCTTTAGAATAGAGATCTCTTACTTTGCCAACTTTAAGACTTGTGGACTTCCCCTCCCAGAATCCTGAGCCAGCCATGCTCAGGAAGTCATAAAGGGTCCATAGTTCTCCACCTCTGGTTTAATCCAAATGTCATCCCACCCCATACCTTGCAGCAGCTTGAGATGATTTTAATTCTGGAATGCAAGTTTTGTGTTGTACGGAAGGAGGAACCCTTCTGAAGGACCTGGGGATCTATAGTTTCGCTTAGTACAACAATTCTGCTTTGATGCAGTTGGCTCTTTCTAGCCTGATCACTTGCCATAAATGTAACAGGTGTCCCAAAATTGGCACTGTCTCTTGGCTTGTTGTGAAGTTCATTTCTCTTTCACATAGCTAGTGCTGCTTGAGGCAATGTGTTTATTAACCACTGCTCACTGAGGTCCATAACATTCCTCACACAGAAGCTAAACACCTCTGAGTATCCATTGCTGGGAATCAATCACGGGAAAGGACTTATTAACTGAGCAACAGATTCTTGCCCAGTGGAGTTTCACTCCTTCCTTTGCTGAAGGACTGAAAACAAAGTTAGGAGTTTTAATCGTTTGGAAAGATATGTGTTGCAAAGGAGCATGGCCATCTCTCTTGGAAGAATGAAGGCAAGGCTGGTGCAGCTGCTGTGCCAGCCCTCTCTGTGCAGATATCCGTGCCCAGCCAACCACGTCTGCTGACTCATGGATCCAGGAAAAAATGTCATCTGGGAGGAGGTTTCGAAGTATTTCTAGCAGGACTAGCTAGAAATAGCTGTAACAGCTTTGTTCCCTATGCCATCCATCGTCTGGTAAACTCGCAAGATTCGTTTTTCTCACCATGTACCTGTGTTTCCCTGAAAATAAGACCCTGTCTTATATTTTTTTGAACCCCGAAATAAGTGCTTGGCCTTATTTTCAGGGAGATCTTATTATTTTGGGGCACGTGGAGGAAACCAGAGGAAATGGCGGGGACCAGCTGTGCATGCATTTAAATATTTTCAGGGGGGGGCTTATTTTAGTGCATTAACCCAATCGGATAATAAGTCCAATTGGGCTTATTATCAGGGGATGTCTTATTTTAGGGGAAACAGGATACATATATACATTTGAACTAGACTGCATTGTTTCTCTGTGTCATATAATATATGTGGGTATATGCATAATTTTTTTGTATTTATTTATTTACTTATTTTGTCATGTTTGTGTATATTGGAGGTGGTGTCTGTATGCTATGCTATTCATAGCTGTATGCTATGAAATTTCATTTTAATGTATGCCGATTAGTGCAGGGGTCTCCAACCTTGGCAACTTTAAGACTTGTGGACTTTAATGCCCAGAGTTAAAGACCTCTGGGAATTGAAGTCCACAAGTCTTAAAGTTGCCAAGGTTGGAGACCCCTGGACTAGTGTACATTCAAAGTGACAATAAAGTTATTCTGTTCTGTTCTGTTTTGTTCTGTTCTGTGCAAACATCACCAGGAACAGCTTGGTTTCTAATCCCTGACCATCTTCGTATTGCCCTTCTTTGAACTTGCTCCACATATTTAACCCAGCTTAAAATGATGTTCCCAAATATTGGGTTCAATACTTGAGGTAGAATCTGACAATTCTCAAATCATGAGGCTTGTGGCTATTATGAGGGTATATTTTAATTTCCTTTGCGGTAGCACTCAAGCCATTTGTGCTTGGCACCTGCAAAAGTTGTCAGTCCCTGTGGTCAGTCATGTGTTCACTTATGAACACACGTGTCCATGCACATGCACACGCACGCACACACACACACAGACTCCTCAACCATTAAGGGGAGAAAACTGGTCCTGCTTCCAGGCTTTTAGAAGAAGATAATGGTTGCAGAATATTCAGAACTCTCTGAAGTGCTGTGAAATCGTATTCACAATTTAATAGATTGAGATGATGTTCTCCTTTTTGTCTCTTCATTGTTTCATAGATCTGTCCTTCCTTGTGTTTGCCTCATTCCTCCAGCATTCAATGCCACTAGGATAATTTTTAAAACCGATTTGGGAGCAGGAGCCCATGCAATTTGCCACAGCTTTTCTTTTGTTAGTGTTAATTTGCATGTTCATTCCTACTCAGTGTAAAAATGGATTCATAAAACAGTGCCTAAAAAAAGAAGGGAAAGAAAAGGATGGGTGGATCAGATCAATCCTATTTATAGCCTCTGAGTTCATTCATGTGTGCTGTCCCTCCCATTTTCCATATAAACCTACAATTATTTTTTTAATCCACCAATATTTTTGCCTGTATATTTGCATTTTTAACATTTGGTTCAACTGTAATATCTTAAATATGCATTTTTGCGCATTATATTTTAAAATATGTCTTTATGAGAACTCTTACTTTTTCTTTTTCAGAGAAAAACAGTATCTCAAATTCATGGAAATATGAAATTATAAGGATTGCCTGTTTCCCACCCACATATTTGGCCCGATTTGCTTTAAAATGCTGACCAAAGAAAAAGTCAAGTACTAATCCAAAAAGATATTATTATATAAAAGCAGGCAGTTAGGCAGGCAGGCAGGCCCAATCACTCATGCCCTCATCACCTCCCAGATAGATTACCATAATGCACTCTACATGGGGCTACCCTTGAAAAGTTTGTGGAAGCTTCAGCTGATACATAATGCAGCAGCCTGGGCAGTTATGTGTGCCCCTAGAAGGATTGCACATTACACTTCTGCTCTGAAAACTGCACTCCTTGCCAGTTTGCTTCCAGGTCCCATTCAAAGTGCTGGTTTTGACTGTTAAAGCCCTTCATGGAATAATCATGGCACATTATTTGATTACATCTGATTACATCTACCTATTCCAGGGGTCAGCAATCTGTGGCTCTGGAGCCGCATGTGGCTCTTTCATCCCTCTGCTGCAGCTTCTTGTTGCTGATTGGCTCCACAATTGATAGGGCTTTCAGTTAGGACAGATAGAGAAAAAGGACACCGTGCTAGGAGGAGACTCTATGGTGGGGGAACCGACTTCCAGTCGGCAGAGGAAAAAGGATGCCGTGCTAGGAGGAGACTCTATGGTGAGGGAACCGGACTTCTGGTTGGCTCCAGAATTGAACAGGGGCTTCTGGTTAGGACCTTTGTGGCTCTTTGAGTGTTTAAGGTTGCCAACCCCTGACCTATTCCATCAGGTCCAGTAGGAGGGGATTGGCAGATCCTGTCTCTGAAGGCATTATATTTGACAGAACCCAGGAGACAAGCCTTTAATTCCCAGTTTGAGGTCTCCTCCCAACCAGGATGGTCGCTCTCCAACAGAATCTCTACCTTGGGGTAGGAGGGGAAGGATGTTCTACAAGGTGGATGCAGAAGACTCATTACATCAACATAAGAGGGCAACATCTGCCCCTCCCCATGCTTTTGAGCATTATTTAGTTTTTCCAAGGTAAAAGCTACCAATCTAGGGAAATTCCTGTGGGGTAGGCATAGAGCAATAATGCAGCTGGTTTCAGTTCTATGTATCTGGAACTGGTTGTTTGCATCTGACACACTGGCCCCATCTCTGCCTATCTTCTGCAAGCCTATTAAAATGTGCATATATCAACAGGCTTAGGAAAACTCAGGGAAATGTTGAACTGGTGAAATGGCTGCACTGTATGTAACATCAAAGATGTTCCCCACTGATCTTTTAAAATAATATTAATCTTTTATTATGGTTTAGTTTTCATTGGTTTTTTTATAGTCTGTTTTTATTATACATTACCGAGAGTCACATTTGTGAAATTGGTGGCTATAGAAAAAGGGAGGGAGGGAGGGAGGGAGGGAGGGAGGGAGGGAGGAAGGAAGGAAGGAAGGAAGGAAGGAAGGAAGGAAGGAAGGAAGGAAGGAAGGAAGGAAGGAGATGGGAAAGAGAAGGAAGGAAGAGGGAGGGAAGGAAGGAAGGAAGAGGAAAGGGAAGGAGGGAAGGAGGAAGGAAGGGAGGGAGGAAGGAGGAAGGGAGGGAGATGGGAACAAGAGAAGGAAGGAAGAAGGAGGGAAGGAAGGAAGGAAAGAAGGAGATGGGAATGAGAGAAGGGAGGGAGGGAGGGAGGAAAGGAAGGAAGGAAGGAAGGAAGGAAGGAAGGAAGGAAGGAAGGAAGTCTTGACATTATCTAGATGTGCTGGGGAATTCGGGAACTTAAAGTCCACACATCTTGAAATGGCCAAGGTTGAGAAACAGTGGTGTACACCAAAGTCATCTTCATATAAGCACACATGTAAAATATTGGTGTAGGTATCCATTTAATCACTTTAATGATGTAAGGTTGGGTAGAAGCCACAAATGATCTATATTTTTGGACAAGAATCAGAATTTTTTAAAAAAAATGGAACAAAGAGGACTTGTAATGCATGAGTTCTGCTTTGGCAATAAAGGCAAAGCATCTGAATACACATACTGTCTAATCTAGCACCTTGTATAAAAAGCATACTCAGAATTGCTCAGGCAAGGTGCCATGATGTAGATAGGATTGCAATATGTAGGGAAAGAGACTTACCTCATCCCTGCAAAATTGGTTTCATCATTGTGGGGGGGAAAGGACCCAACTGTGTGGATATCTCAATCTAAGCGTTCTCATGATTGATCAAAGCCACGATGAGGTATGGTAGACAATAACTAGAGGCCCATCTGGTGACAAGCACAGCATACGAAAAATTGCAACTTGGAACATATGAAGTAAATGGTGAAAGTCTGAACTGAGGGATGAAATGAAGTTTTAAAAATAGGTAGATTGTTTCTGTAAATACTATGAGGAAGAAGAAGGCTGTAATAGGATTAGGGGACTTGAGGCTAAAACATATGAAGAATGGCTGCAGGAACTGGGTATGTCTAGTTTAATGAAAAGAAAGACTAGGGGAGACATGATAGCAGTGTTCCAGTATCTCAGGGGCTGCCACAGAGAAGAGGGAGTCAATCTATTCTCCAAAGCACCTGAGGGCAGGACAAGAAGCAATGGGTGGAAACTAATCAAGGAGAGAAGCAACTTAGAACTAAGGAGAAATTTCCTGACTGTTAGAACAATTAATCAGTGGAACAACTTGCCTCCAGAAGTTGTGAATGCTTCAACACTGGAAGTTTTTAAGAAGATGTTGGATAACCATTTGTCTGAAGTGGTGTAGGGTTTCCTGCCTGGGCAGCGGTTTGGACTAGAACAGGGCTCCCCAACCTTTTGGATCTCGGGGACCACTAAATTCATAATTTGAAATCCCACGGACCACTAATATAATCTGCCTAATGACTGGCTGGGTGGGCGTGGCTAGGTGGTCATGTGACTGGGTAGGTGTGGCCAACTTGATGTCACTCACTTCGAGGGGTGCCTCTCTGGCCACTACTCGCCCCTCCCTTCCCAGCCACTCCTCGCCTCCCCGCCCAGGCTCCTTGAGGCCCCAACAGGAAGTAGTTGTTGGAGCTAAGCAGCCACCATGAGAAAGAGTTGGCAAAACAGCTGCCTCAGTTCAAATTGGATCTGACCAAGAAGGAGGCTCAGCAGAAGCACCTCACTGAGGACTATGAGCATAGGCTTTCCAAGCAGAGGGAAGACCTGCGGGAGTGCAAGGCCAGGTACCGGTGCCTGGAAGCTCAGCAGGCTGAGATGGTCAGCCAGTTCCAGGCCATGATGCAGTCCCACTGGAACAAGGCTCTCCGGCTCTTCGCCACCAGAGGCATTTCCCTCCAGCCTTCACCCAAAGCCCCATACCAGGAGGTTGAAGCAGACCCCAAGTCAGGATTTCTGCCCCCCTCTGACCCACACAAAAAGACCCCAAAGGGGGAGACTCTGTGCAGCAACACAAACATTCATTGCATGTATCCGGCCCAGGGGCCGTAGTTTGAGAACCCCTGATTTAGTGCAATATAAAAAATGCAAATAATTTTTCTGTGGACCACCAAAATTTTCTCGTGGACCAGTTGGTGACCACTGGATTAGAAGACCTCCAAGGTCCCTTCGAATTCTGCTTTTCTATTCTATTCTATTCTATTCTATTCTATTCTATTCTATTCTATTCTATTCTATTCTATTCTATTCTATTCTATTCTATTCTATTCCATTCCATTCCATTCCATTCCATTTAATTCTATTCTATTCTAAATGAAGGCAACTTGAATTTGTGGAGTGAGTTGATGAATACAGGCAGGGGAGTGAAGGTGCAGGTTTAAATATGAATGAAATGACTAAAATGTACATCAGAAATTGTGGGTACAAGTAGTCCTCACTTACCAACTGCCACATTCAGTGATTGTTTGAAATTAAACCACTGAAAAATTAGGTTTACCAACAAATTTGCAGTTGTTGCAGCATTCCCACAGTCTTGTGCTCACAATTTGGGTGCTTCACAACTGGTGCACATTTATGACAGCCACAGCATCCTGCAATCATGGGATCATGCTTTGCAACCTTCATAAACGACTTCCAACAAGCAAAATCAATGTGGAAGCCAGCAGGAAGTCACATGTCGTGGTCACATGACATTGTACCTAGCAAACGGCAGTGATTCATTTAATGACCAAAGTGAAACTGACATAAGTCCAGTGTGGTCACATGACATTTCACTTAACAACCATGCTGCTTAGCCACAGAGTTATCATTACCAATTGCAATCAGTAATGATGGCTTCCTCTGTATTAAAATCTATAGTTGATAAATGTCTATGGAGATTCTCAGTCATCCAGGTCATGGTTGTCCCAAAGGTGCTTTTTTCAAGAGGACTTCCTGGTTTTTCTTTGAAGACATTTCTCTTCTCATCCAAGAAGCTTCTTCAGCTTCATAGGTGATAGTTGGGTACTATGCTCAGTTTGGCCCTTAGAATGTTTTCTATTCTATCACTTTAATTTTTGCTAGCTGATCAGAGTCTTATGAGTGGTTGCCATGAAACCTATAAACAAACATTTTTATTTATTTATATGGCCACCCACCTCAAATTCATGACCCTGGGTGGCTAACAGCAATTAAAAACTTCATATGATATGACAAGAAGAATGATGCATGCATAATTGGCAGTAAAGATCAACTAAGCAGACCACAAAACAGCATGACTATTGAATGGGCTCTGCCATACAACTAATTCTTCTGGCTCAAAGACACAGCCATGTTTCTAAGGCCTTGCATGAGGCGAGCAGGGTGCAGGCCAATCTGATTGCTACAGGGATGAGGCTCTAAGGAGCAGGGACCACAACAGAAAAGGCTCTCTTGTAGGTCCTGCCAGATGTCACTCTTTAATGGATGGGACCGCTTGCTGGATCTGATGGGACAGTGAGACAAAATCAGAGATAGTCTTTCAAATAACTTGGCCCAGAGCCATGAAATAGTAATATATTACAGAAGAAGAAGGAGAAGGAGAAGGAGAAGGAGAAGGAGAAAAAGAGGAGGAGGAGGAGGAGGAGGAGGAGGAGGAGGAGGAGGAGGAGGAGGAGGACCTACTAGGAATGAGTTTGGAGATAAAATGTCTCCAACTTTCTGAATATCTTGCATGAATAGAAAGTTGAAAGTCGGTTCTGAACCTAACCCAGAGATAAAAAATATTATGTTAGGTAACATGAATGGAATACTTTAGAAGTATATGTCGCAAAGGACTAAGAAACAGGGTTAAGAATGAATGGGTACTGAATGAATGTCAGTTGAGAAGTATATTAATGAGGGTTGATCCAACAGAAAGAATGGATGACATTCAAACTGAGAAGGGAGAAAAGGAGGGAAGATTAAATGGGGGGAAATCCCAGAAAGTCATGGTTAGATGGAATAGATGAAAAAGAAGTGAGAAATCTAAAGAATAAAAAAATCAAAGCTTGACTCAGTGTGTAGATATTGTGATAACAGGGATAGTTGCAAAAATAGAAGGGTATGGAGAGGTGAAGTAAGTTATAAATGAGATTTAGCTACGTTTCCTTCTCTTTTTCTTAGTTTATATCTCACAACCAAATGCAGGTTAGTTAAAATAATAATTTTTCCAATTGCTACTTATGGCTGCGAAACCTGGA